CACACACACACACACACACACACACACACACACACACACACACACACACACACTTACACATATTCCCACCATTGGCTCTCACTCCAGCACACACCCCACTGTGGCTTTACGAACAAGGGACTGATCCTGCAGACAGTTTTGCCCATGAGTCTAGTTATTCCCACGCTAAATCCTTACTGATTTTAATGGGAGTAAACAGTTCTCATCGGTGTAACGGCTTGCAGCGCCAGGCACTAACAATGCAGACATAGTAACCACAGAGTGGCCACAGGAGCAGACACAGCTGTGTTCTTACCAGGCCTTCCCCAGGTTTAATGTTGGTTAAATGAACCTCCTCCAGACATGCACTCTGGCTCATCAATGGATCTGTAGTTGATCTGATCATCTTATCACAAATTCCATTTAAAATCTTGGACTGAAAATGAACAAAAATTCATTACGAAAGCCATATTCTAGAATCCCCTCCTCCCCGTTTCTCAATAAAGCAGAAGTTATTTAATTATAAAATCTGGCCCACTAAGAAAGCTTGATATTCTGCCAGCAGTTCTATGAGAACATTCAGAGAATTCTCCTCTATGGCCTTATCTACCCTAGGCTTCAGGGGTAAAAATCTGCCACTACTGCTACCACCAGTGACAGGAACGTTGGGACAGTTAATGTAGACAAGGTGCCACTACAGTTGTCTGGAAAAAAGGCAATTACGACACCACCACACTCTTGCGAAAATTTAGTCTATATTTTTCTGGAATTTTTATTTTGAAATCCAGAACATTTGACGATCTTTAGTGCCAACAGTTATTTAGATCTGCTTTAAGAAGGGTTAAGTCAGGATGGTGCTAAAGAAGCCAATGACAACTGATGAATACTCTATACCAAGTTTTTGAGTGGGTAGGCATTTAATAATTAAGTATTTTAGCATTAGTTATCTCCTTTGTGCCAGTTGCTGTAATCCTTACAAACTTGTATTTGCTTGTTACCAAAATATATCCAATCCCAAACCAATACCATTTCTGAGGACACATTCTGACCTTAAACACATGTATGTAACTTGGACTAATGAAGTCAGTGAGAGTGAGGCTTATGTATCAGAAGGGAATAATTTGTCTTTTACATTCTAAAAGTTTCAAACAGGCAAAATGACTACTTAATCAGCAAAAATGCAGTGGTCAAAACATCCACTTTCTTCCCACACACTCCACATTGTTTAAATTTATATCAAGACATAAAATACAATGTATTTAACTTAAAGTTGTTTTCAACAGTTAACAAACAAAACAAAACAAAAGAGGCCTTAAAATGTTCAGGATAGCATTTATTTGTAATTGGCTGTGAAACTGGAAGGTAGCTCACCTGAGAGACAGTAAATATCTCCAAGTGCCCTTGGGACTTCTCACTCAATGGAGACATATGTAATTAAGGGGCTGCACAAAATCCAGCTTTGTATAAAGATAGCTCTGTCGAATCACAGTGGGCACAGGGTAAAATATTCTCAAGGTTTGTTATTCTAAACCAGATTTATAGAACTGAAATAATGCAATTTAACTAAAATCGAAACAATGCCTAAGCATGAATACGAGGAACTGCCAAAAACAAGGGAATTCCAAACAACAGTGCGTACACGGAATGGGGTGGGGAAAAATGAGAAACTGAAGACTCCTATTTGCTTGGTTTCCTTATTTATGGACAAAATTATTTTTAGCTATTGTGCTACTGAATGCCTAAGCATCTATCAGCAAACGGAAGGCCTTATCAAAAAACACAGCCTGGCTCATGTCAAAAGCAGGAAGCGATGATTAACTGTTACAAAATATTAAAAGCATTTCATTACATCCCACTGTTGGTCACAAGGTTCTTCAAAACGATTTTGAAAACTCAGAGCTTTCAAAATGAAGTATAATTAGACATAGATCTTTCTAGTTCTATAGGCAGGAGTGCCTTTACAAGGACCACCACAAAGTACATTATTTATTAAATAAAGTGATATATCCCACGCTGTGAATCATGGACATTTTGCTTTACTTGGTCTAACGTCCTTTTACATTCCTTTGCCTCCCCTTAAAATCTGAGCCAGACATCGGTCTTGAAGAAATACCAATGGAATAAAACCTTAAGGATCATCTACTGTATATAGCAGTGCTGACTTATACACCATTAAAAATTCACCATTATCCCTTCTGAAAGAATAATGAATGATAAAAACAGCCTGCAATGGGGTTTTGCTTACATGGTACATTTCAACTTTGTCAGTCTGAGTAATCAAGAAGTCATTGAAATAAATGGGAATACAAATAACTAGGTTGTAACTGAAATGCATACTTACTACATGTAGAACTTTATCTTCCATTTCAGCCATAGTGCAATCCTAAAAAGAGAAAACAAGCACTAAATTAACAGAACTGTGTAAACGGACTAGGTTGCAAAATACTGAAATACAGCTACCTCTGACCTCAAGCAAAAAGAGCAGTATCTTTGGAGCAGGGATTAATCAGGCATCTGCTTCCCCTTCTAGGGATCAAATGTACCACTGAACAACAATTTTCTGACACCTGGTCTAAAAGGCAATACAGACCTTCAAAATGTCAAAAGAATACAAGCCTTCAGTTACTGCAGAAAAATTTTCCAGGAAAAATGAGTTATACACAAATAAAGATGGACTTTGTTAAGGTAAACCATACAATCTTGTTTTAGATACTACAAATACTGAGCCAGCTATTACTGTATTCAACATTTCAAAATGGATAAAAAACACTTGTTAAAAATAGCTACAGAAGTGCTTTTAAAATATGCTATTGATGGCATTCAGGAAGGCAAAGGAACGGCACACAAAGCATTATTTACACAGCCCAGGTACAAAAGTCTTTGAACTGAAAAGAGTTCATTTAGTAGATTACAGAAGAGACCATTGTTCTCTGAAAAAACAGCAAAACTGGAACACACCAATACATTCCCAGACAAAAAGAGGGGAGGGGGGGGGAGAGAAAGGTTAAATTACAGGATTACAGGTACGGTTGTAAATATTTATCAATTACTTAAGAAACCTCCATTAAGACTGTTATTTTCTCAAAAATAATAAAATGTTAGAAAATACAAAGTTAAGGTTATATTTGGAGGAAAAACCCCAAATCCCAAGGTTATATTTGGGGGGAACCCCAAACATTACAAAAATCACTTGAACAATCTTAACTCTGACCCATATCACACCAGCCTTCCAAGCTGCACAACTGTCACATCTCATTATAAAAGACTGAGACATTTTAACGAAGATTTCATGAAGAAGGATTTGCTGAAGACGAAGTATTCACAGTCTGCATATGCAGGTATCTTAAATCTTTAAGTCTACTTACTTTATATAGTTTGCCGTGAAGTCAAAGAACTTAGCACACAACTTGGGTTTTGTACATAAATGTACATGTTTTGGAAGCGTGAGCTCAATACCCTGAGTCCTTAGCATTACGTTAATTTTTGGCCTGGTTCTTAAGGGGGCTAGAGCCACCGCATATGTATCTATACTAAGTCTGACCACACTTTTACATTTTATACTCCATATGCTTTTGAGACTGGTCCTCAAAATTGCTCCAAAGACAGTCACTTTTAGCAAACAGACAGAAACCTCACTTTTTCTGGTGAAATAAAGAGTAGCTTGCTTTACTAATGGTAAAGTGGCGTACGTGTGCTTGCTATACTAATATGAAGAGAGATGTACTTTGTGTTAAGGGCTTCAATAGAAAACAATATATCAACAAGAGTAAGGTACTAAAAAGCCTTTTAGATCACTTCTAAATTTTCAGTCACTGAAGTAATGACAACGTGCACTGTTTCCACGTAGGATTGTCTTCTGAATTTTGGTTGTTCTGTAGACAGCCATACAGGGACAGAATAAAGGTTGTGTGGTGACTAAAGCCATGTCTACACTACAAAACTTATGTTGACTCAAGTTATGTTGGCATACAGATGCCACGGTTAGTACATTGCTTGTGCCCATGCATACTTGACTCCTTATGTCAGCAGTGTACGTGCTCACCAGGAACACTTGTATTGATGCAGAGTGCGGTGCACCATGGGTAGGTATCTCACTGTGAACTCACCACTATGCAGCACACTATCTTTTGGGAAGTTTTGTCAATGTATGATGGGGCTGAAATGAGTCACTCAGGTGTCTGGAAGCATGTCCCATTTTGCAACTGTCTCCATCCCATAATGTTATCTGTATCCCATAATTTTCATGCCTTTTTTAAAATCCCACAAACATGCATGGCCTCCTCTGTCCACCATTCCTGAAAGAAGCATGGAGCCTGCACTATTATCATAAGCATTGCAAGCACAGATTGTATGATCTTGAAATATTTCCAGAGCTACAAGAACCACCAAATAAAGTGGGGAAACCTGACAATTCCTTGGAGGACAGACTGCTGTGGGACATAGTGAGAATTAATTCAAGGTTGTTAGTGGCATTCAGGGAGCAGATGAAGATGGTGGAGTGCTGCTTCTAGGCCCGAAAAACAAGCACTGACTGGTGGAATCGCATCATAATGCAGGTTTGGTATGGTGAACAATGGCTGCAGAACTTTCAGATGTGCATTCCTGGATCTGTGCAGTGATCTTGCCCCAGCCCTCCAGCACAGGGAAACCAAAATGAGAGCTGCACTGCTGTGCAGAAGTGAGTGGTAATCGCACTGTGGAAACTTGCGATGCCAGATTGCTATCGGTCAGTCGGGAATCAATTAGGGAAATCCACCCACCACGAGGGCTGTTGTGAGGCAAGTGTGCAGGGCCAGTACGCAGGACTGTGACTCTCAGCAATGTGCAGGACACAGTGGATGGATTTGCAGCAGTGCTGCTCCTGAACTGCAGTGCAATAGATGGCTTGCATCTCTCTATTGTGGTATCAGACCACCTTGCCATTCAGTACAGCAAACAGGAAGGGCTACTTTTCTGTGGTTATGCAAGCACAGGTGAATCACCAGGGACTCTTCACTGACATCAGTGTTAGCTGGTCAGGGAAGATGCATGATGCTCACATCTTTAACAACACATGACTGTTGAGAAAGCTACAAGACTTTTTCCTGATCAGCAGTTTACCACTGGAAATGTTGAAATGCCAAAAATGATCCTGGGGGACCCAGCCTAGCCCTTACTTCCCTGGCTCATGAAGGCATGTACCATCCACCTTAGCAGCACCAACGAACAATTCAACTACTGGCTCAGAAGGTGCAGAATGACAGCTGAACGTGCTTTTTGTTGTTTGAAGGGTCATTGGCATAGTTTACTTACAAGATAGGACCTTAGTGAGAAAAACATCCCAATGGTTATAGCTGCCTGCTGTGTCCAGCATAATATATGTGAAGCAAAGCGGGGAAGTTTCCATCGGTCTGCAGGGCAGAGGTGGAGGAGCTGTCATCTGAATTTCAACAGCCAGACACAAGGGCTATTAGAAGAGCTCAGTGCAGAGCTATATTGCTCCAGGAGGCTTTGAAAGACCATTTTAATCCTGAGCAAGAACAGTGTGTGTTGTAATGTGCTCTACCTGGCTCTGCAGAAGTCATTTGGTGATCGCTGTACATGTAGGAATATAACTTTGTCAAGGCACGTATTAATTTTGTCTGTGAATCATCTCATGAGTTATGTGGCACTGTGTAATAATAGGTAACTGGTTGCTTTCAGAACTGCTGAGCATTTGGCAGCATATGTTATGAACTAATAAAGATGAATTATATTGCAAAAAACACAATCAGTGCAAAGAAAGAGCAATTTTAAAACAAATATATTACAAAACTTAAAATTTAATAAAGAGAACAGAACTTATGAAGGGGAAAGAACACTGATGCCCATTTCAGCTACACATGCACCAACTGTGGCTTTCAGATATGTTTGGCTGTGATTGTCTTTAATGTCCCCCGGGTGGCATGCCAGGGGTAGTGCAGAGGCCCCTGATGCCACATGGAATGTTGCGGGGATGGGGGGAGGTATAGGGAGGTCCTGATACTGAGTTCTCAATGGGCTGCAGAGTGAGGTGAGCCCGGGACTGTTGAACCTGCAGATCCACCACAGTCTGCAGCATCTGTTTGCGCTGCCTTAGAAGCCATTATGTCTTGGTGCATCTTCCTCTCCTTTTCCTGCTGGAGCTTTCTCCTCTCCACTCTTTCCTTCTCCAGGCTGTCTGCAATATTCATCCTCCAGCCCTGTGCTCGCAGTCTGATGCGGCAGTGGCTTGCAGGATCTCACTGAACATGTCATCCTGAGTCCTCTTCTTTCTCCTCTTTATCTGGCGCAGGCATTCTACAGGTCTGAAAGGGAGTGTGAAGGCCGCAATGACAACAGCTGAAGATAAAACACACAGAGGTACCACGGTCAGCGTATTCACTACAGAAAGGGAAACTTGCTCCCCTGCAGTTGTAAGCACGACAGTCTCACTTCTGCTTGGGATTGTTTGTGCACGGCACCAGTCACAGCACCAGCCATGGTGAGTATGGCCCGCCAGGGGTGGGGGAAATGAGGAGCAAATTGCTTGCTTGCATGATCCCAGTAGTGTAGGGCAATGGCACTGAATACTGGCACAGTTTTCCACAGGCAGTGGTGATTTTAGCTGATCTCTCACTGCTGAGGGTTACAAAGGCAGAGACCCCACAGCTGCTGTGGCATCCTAAAGGTGCCCGAGCCCATATGCTGCTAGCCTGTACTGCTATTGCAATGGTGCCTATTGAAGTTATAGCTGAGTGTCATAGGAAAATGGCCTACCACAGAGGATGAAATAGGACAGCCATCCCTAGAAACCTTCAGGAGAGGATTGCCGAGTACCTCAATGAAAGTTTCATGGAGATCTCTCAGGAGGATTCAAGGGACACCCCTGTATCCATAAACAAACTGCTCTATGTGGCCCCTGCCTAACTCTAGAGGGGAATGAAAAGCAAATAGCAACTCAATGTCTCTTGGTTGTACCACTACCTTTTCTAGCATGAGTAAATTAATGAAAAAAGTCAAAAATGTGTCCTGCCATCCCTGTAATTGAAAATTTATCTAAACGCTTACCTGAGATTCCTTTCCTTGCATCGGGCTCGCCCTTGATCGACTGGTGAGACTGTGGCAGAGTTAAAAATAGGATCTGGCTCGCTGCGCAGCTGGATCCCAGGTCGCCTGACCCCCATACTCCTCCTCCACCTCCTTGCTGTTCATATCGGGGTCTGTGACTCAGTGGGCTCCTCAGAGGTATCCATAGTGCTGTGTGTGGGGAGGGGGTGTCCTCCACTGAGTATGGCTTGTAGCGCTTTGTAAAAGTGGCACATCTGCGGCTCAGCACCAGATTGATTGTTGGCCTCCCTGGCCTTCTGGTACGCCTGCTGCAGTTCCTGGGCTTTCACATTGCACGGCTGCTGGTCCCCATCGTACCAGTTCTTCTGCATCCCCTGAGCCATCTGCTCATAGATGCCAACATTTTTACAGCTTGTTCAGAGCTGTGCCTGCACAGCCTCTTCTTCCCACAGGCCCAGGAGACCCCGTATCTCCTGTCTACTCCAAGCTGGAGTGCTTCTGGAGCACACAACCAGCAGGGGCAGCTGGGCAGTTGCACTCTACAATGGAGAGCTGCTAGGTGTGCTCGTCAAGCTGGACAATCAAGAAAAGGAATTTCAAAAATTCACTAGGCTTTAAAGGGACGGGGGGGGCTTCCAGTCTCAGTCTCCATGACGCCTGCGCAGTGGAGTTCATAATGATGACCTGAAAGGTCCTCAGCTGCTGGAGGACAGTTGGGCTCAACATAGGTAATTCAGTGTCTACAATTGCCCTGTGTCACTCAGGGAGGTGGTGTTACTATGTTGGCATAACAGGGTGCTTACAAAAGTGGGAAACTAATTTAAAGTGAAGACACATGCACAGCTAGGCTGACCTAAGCTGGCTTGTGTCAATCTAAATTTCTAGTGGCCTAACTATGCCCTTCCTTATTTTGTTTTGTTTTAAATGTAACTTAAACAGTAGAAATTTTGGAAAAACTTAGTTGTGAGGTTTTTTGAGAAAACTGCCAGGTTCTCCGAAGGGCTGTCTCTTCAGTAATTGATAGAAATATACAACTTTTACTCCAGTATAAAGTTGTTTGTTTTTTAATGAGAATTTCCTTTGGGTATTTGAAAAACAGAATAACGATTCAGTGAGTCCCTGTGAACCATGCAAGCTGTGCAGGAATTAAGTCTTGCCAGTGACTAACCCTGCTTTAACCATGTTACTAAAATTTGTGTTCTAAACATGACTCTCAAACTGCAGATTTGATAAGGCAGATGGGCCCATGTCTCCATCCCTTCCTCCCCCACCAAACATAACCACAATCTCCATTCCTAATTATTTCAATTTGAGTTGGCCTGCTTAGTACATGTGATCCAACACTGATTGCTCCCATGGTTAAAAACAATTCTAAAAGCAGCAGCATCTCATTAATTTCCTTACACTGGTTAAAAAGGGAGGCTTGTAAACATGCCGGGGACAGGGACGGGGGGGGGGAGGGGGAGGGAGGGAGGGAAGGAAGCAGAGGTAGATTGAGAAGCCTTGAATGGTGATCGGCAAATGCACTGTTAAAAGTTATCTAGCTACAGGATAACGCGCAGAATGCCCCAGAGCAAGGGTAAGAAGGGCACTGACCAATTAAGCAATAAACCCTGTTTGGGTGCCTGGTTCCTGCTTTTTCTATGACACTCCAGCATGAAACATTTGAGGTCACCTGCAGAAGCATGGAGTTATCCCAAAACGGGAGACGCAATTAACTCATTTTCTTTCAATATATGCATGGTTTTGAAAAGTTTTTGAAAATGGCATAGCTTTTGGGCAGGAAGTCTCTCTCTCTTTTTCTCTCTCTCTCTCTCACACACACGCCATAGATTTCACCTCACCTACAAAAAACCCACAAAATCCCCAGGTCACACACACCACTTACCTGACCACCTTCTACAAGGGAGTTCCATGCTCCAGCAGGCATCAGTGGGAGCTGCATATCACAGTATGGTACATACTGAAGCATCAAAGGAGAGTGGGAGCCAGCCACTCTGACCCCAGCTTATACCCAAAGCTGGAAATGAGCTGGTCTGCTGAAAGTCACTTACGTGCCAAATGCCCCTCTAGCCATTACAATTTAGGCCAATCACAACTAATAGTTAATTTGTAATAAAACATTGTGGAAGCCAGCCTGGTGGAAGCAGAAACATGAGGGAAAGGCAGCTCTTCCAGTCGCCTGTTGCAGTCCACACCCAGCGGCTAACTGCTCTCTTCCAGGTTATAATTTGAGTTCTATTATATTTATTAAAACAAGTTACCAACGTTGATTCTAACTGGAGTTAAAAAGCCAGCTTGCAGGTTTTCAAATTCAAAGCGGCTATTCCTGGGCCTACCCCAACTCTTACAGTTAATGAAAACACTAATGGACTTTAAAATGGGAGCCAGATCAGACACCTAGCTCAACACTGCTGAAAAGTTTTGAAATTAACTGAACAAAAATCTCAACTGCAGGAGAACAGAGTGACCAAAGTTGGTAGCAGCCAGTATGCACCTGCTCATATCTCACATATGGTACTCCAGCATATGTTTTCCTCACTAACAAGTTGTACATAACTAGCGCACAGTTACTTCCCCAGCCACCTACCTTCCTTCCTTCCTTTTTGGAGAGGTGAGAAGAAAAGCGAGGAGGAGGGAAAAAGTCAACTGACCTTCTGAACCGTGGTGGTGAGATCCAAGCAGAGCTGAATGATTCTGTTCTTTGTCGCTGAGAAGTCAGCAATCCCTGTAAATGGGGCCCTGTAAAAAGACAAAATCCCCTTAGAATGAAGAGCCCTCTCAGCTTCCAACTCTGGCTGTTAATGGGCACAGCACATAGATTTACACAGTTGCAGGTCAGATAGCAAACCTGAGACATGCTGGAACTATCACGTTAATACAGTAAAAATGTTATCTGAATAACGTACCTGCAGTAAATAGACTAAAGTGCCTTTTAACACAAGTGCACCAATATGGTGAGGAACACACTACCCTTATAACAAGTGTATTCTCTATCATGAAAAATATCTCAGCCAAGATCAGCCTCTGTAATGGCTTGCTTTCCTCTAAGAGGTAAATCTGAACAGCTGCTAACCTTTCAGCACTGTTTACAAAGGACTCAAGTCTAGCTCAGTGATTATACCCTCCCTTAAAGGAGGCCGCTTTAGAGAGCTGTTGAGGGGCACCTCAGCTCCACCTGCTACTTTATGAGGGGCAGGGAGAGAAGGGAAAAAGTTCCAAAACACTGACTGGGCTCAAAGTTGGATAAGTCAGCCATCTTGCTGCTGGGGCTAGCAGACAGGAAAGTTGGTGGGGGCTGGCAGTGACCGGAGGAAAGAACCAAGTGAGAAGAGCAAGCTATTGCCAGGGAACAGCACCTGACAGTGACAGCAGGGCCATTCATGGGATAACAGCTCTTCCTCCCCGTGATCTCCTTCTGACTTCCCTCCCCACAAGCTGGGTCCTTAGGAAAGCTGGCAACATGTGAGATAATTTACAATCATCTATTATCCTGTCCCAGCATCACTGCTGGGACACTATCTGCTCAGCTGCCTGTCTGTTTCCGCAGCAGCTGTCACAGAGCAACCCTAGCCCGTGTAAGGAAAAGCAAAGGAGTCTCTCTTGCTGCCTGTCTTTTTCCAGGCCCCTGAAGCACACACTTGGGAAAGAACAAATTCATTCAAAAATTAAAGCCATGTTAACAAATGGCTGTTTTTTAAACAATCATTTTGTGTGAGGGGGTGGAGCAGAAAGCTTCAACTGTATGGGGGGGGGGGGGAGGAAATATACTTTAAAGCCCTGTCTGCACTAGGGAAATTTGAGGGAGAGCAGGGGAAGTTTTCCACCACTGTAAACACTGGTCAAATCCATTGATTTTAGCAATATCACCACCCCATGCCCCACAGCCACCAACAGCCTGGCAATTCAACTTGCTAATTACTGACATTCTAAGATTTAAATAAAGTGGTGGTCTGGGTGGGAACAAAGACATTTACATTCAGACATCACTCTAGAAGCTGCCTTTGCAAACAGAAATAATTCATTTCACTAACTCAAGTGACCATATGGACTTTTTTTTTTTTAAATTGCGAGTACCAATCTCATACCTGTCCAACCAAGCTAGCAAGGCCTTAGCAGCACCAATAAGCTCCACCACTGAGGTGAGGAATTCATTGGGAGGTTTGTGTGATGTTTTTCCATCATAATTTGAATTTTTCCTCCGGCTGCTGATATAATTCTGCAGGTTGTTGGAAGAAGCTCGCAATTTGAGAACCAAGTTCTTCATATTGTCTGTTTCAAGACCATAATTCTGCAAGAAAAAGATTTGTTTTAAATAGTTTAAGTCATTATAGAGATCCCATTTAAGCTAATTGCACCATAAAACAAATTATTTGGGATGGAGGATCCAGAGAGTTGCCTATAATTTCTCTCTCGAAAAAAGAAAAGTTGCTTGGGAAAAAAGTAACTTTACTGAACTAGTTTCAGAGGGGTAGCTGTGTTAGTCTGTTTCAGCAAAAACAACGAGGAGTCTTGTGACTAACAAATTTATTGTGGGCTATGACCCACTTCTTCAAATCTTACATCTGTGCTTACTGTCTGTACTGAGATCTTACATCTGAAGAAGTGGGTCATAGACCACAAAAGTTTATTTTCTAATAAATTTGTTAGTCTTTAAGGTGCCACAAGACTCCTCATTGTTTTTGATTGAACTAGACACCATTGGACAACCTGCTTTGTGAAATGCAGTCTCTGATCTATATTAGGCATTTGAAAGTATGCTATTAATCCTAGTTATCCTCAATGCTCTTAACTCCTAGAGAATGCAGGAAGTCCCCAAATCCTGTTGTAGGTAACTGGTTTGGAAAGCAGGAGTAGGTGCTGTCTCAGATGCAAGGACTTGAAAAGCAGTCCATAGATTTCTGAACATTCAGATGTAGCAGAGTTCGACTTCCAGCTGCAGAATGCCACGCAGACAAACACATCAGAAGCTACCTCACTGAAGGCCTGACTTTACTATGCGACAAACCTCATCAATTTCCACTGAAGTCACTGGGAGTTGAGGGGAACTCGAAATTTCAAAATATTAGGGCCCAAAATCCCATCACATCACTTGATTCTTACTGGAACACAGTAGCATCGATTTCACTTTTCTCCCATTAAAGGGAACGGAAGTCTGGCTGCTCCCAGTACTATGGTGGAAAACCAGAAGCAGCACAGCTAGGTTCCATTCACAACAAAAAAGGGGGACATTTAAACCTGCTGGGGGACAAAAGCTGAACTACCAGGAAACGGATGTGATTAAATATTTACACCAGGGTTTTGACTTGTAATTTCACAGTTCTGAGTAAGTGTTCCCCTACTAGGAAGAGCATTGATTTGCACGGGTATGGACAGCATCAACACTATGCATGAGTGAAAACTGCCTTTGAAGTCCCTTCTACCTTTCCCCTCGCAAAAGACAAAACCCATGGAATACTAGGCTTGCATCTGAAGAAGTGAGGTTCTTACCCACGAAAGCTTATGCTCCCAATACGTCTGTTAGTCTTAAAGGTGCCACAGGACCCTCTGTTGCTTTTTACAGATTCAGACTAACACGGCTACCCCTCTGATATGGAATACTAGATGGCTCGGGAGAGCGAGAACACGTAGAAAACCTGTAACATCTAGTCACTAGTAACAAAAATTAGAATCCAGTTGGTTTATGCAAAATCAGTTTGCTTCAGTCCAAATGTCAGTCACAAAACCCATGCTGTATCGGTTCTGTTGACAACAGAGGTTAAGGCCAAGATTTTCAAATGTGATTAATAATTTGGGATGCCTCACTGGAGACATCGTAAAGAATTCTGATTTTTAGAGGGCAGATAGGTCCCTCAGCACTTTTTGAAAAATAAAGTCCCTTTAAGGCATCTCAGGTTGAGGACCAAAAAAACATGGGTATCCAAAATCACTAGTCATGTTTGAAAAAGCTTGGCCCTAGTCTCTAAGGTCTTGTCTATACTGAGATTTTTGTGAAATTCTCCCAACATTGCTATTGCACAGATGCATTTCCACCATCCCTAGCATTGTAGACTAGCTATGCTCAGAGGTGGAGCTACACCAATGCCATGGCAACAATGGACTTTACAAAAACCTCTGTTTAAACACAGCCCAAAGGCACCACTCCAGCACAAAGATCACTTAGAAAGAAAAAATAAGTACACAGCAACTCAGAGTAATTACAGGAACACGATGGGTTATAACACATGCTGGGAATGGGGAAGCCTTCGGATGATTTTCAACTGCACTTTGTATCTAAGTGCTAATATAATGATTTGTAAGAGATGAGAGACAGCAAACCAGTTGTCCCCGTACAAATCTTAGTCCTCCTCTTCCTCCTCTCCCTCCCCTCAATCACAGCATTTCTCCCAGAAGCCCTCTTATGGCCTTCAAAAATGCCTCTTCCCACTCCATTAAGCTTACATGACTCGCGCACCAGCTTTGCTGGCAATATTCCTAATGTAGGATCTCTTATGCAGATTGTTGTGCTCCACTCTACTCAAGTTTCATGTACTCTGTGGCTTTCGCGGTCAAATGTGCATAATGAAGTCTTGGATACCTTGGACTGAAAAAGCTGTAGCACAAGTGACCAGGAACTTTTAAAATAAAATAAAAATAAATAAAAACACCCCTCCCCCAACTCCTTCTCCAAAAAAGCCTACAGAACTCCCCCCAAGAATCCACAAAGCTAAAAAATACTGGGATTTTTCAGCCACTGAATTGCCTTTAAAACTACCTCCCATTTCTGGCCAGAGTCCAGTGGGTATACACCGCACAAGTCTACTAAAGCAAGGGAGCACATAGTATGAAGAGTACAGCTAGAGATGTGTTGCTGAGATGAGAAAGGATGTGGTCTAAGTAACAACACCCTTCCAACAGCAGAGGATATCCTTAAGTTTTCCATCATCCTAGAGCAGGAAAAATTTTGGCTTTAATAAACAAAGTCTGAGCATTACATTCTGTAGCCATATAAACTTGTCACCTTTCGATTTAAAGAAAAACAAACAGGAGAACATCATTCTGACGAGTTTCTTGCAGCCAAGTTTTTTCATCCTCTCTTACACAATGCTGCAATAGTGTTTGTTTTTGGTGTGCTTGCTTCCTCACCACCAGCTCTGAGTGCCAGGCCAGCTCCTGCAGCCACAAGAATGTGAAAATAGCAGTGTGCCAGGAGAGTATAAAAGCCTAATTACTCTGGCAAGGGGAGAGGGGACACAGAATATCCCTTTCACTAGGGACTGAAAATGTTATAGGCCCTTTTAACCCTCAAGGACAGCAAGTGATTAGGTAGTTAGAACCACTCTATAAAGAGCTGTGATCCTTTCGAATGTGGCAGGGTGGGGGACAACTGCAGAATTCCCAAGGCTTGAGTTTCAAGCACTCAGGCATGCACTCATATGCATAAAAATGAGAATGCAACTGCATGCCTAAATTGTGCAAGCAGTTATCACTATTCCACTCAAAGAAGTTACACATCTTGTGCAGCAACAATGGTTCTTCAAGATGTGCATCCCTACGGGTGCTGCTTCCCTGCACTACTGATCGGAGTACTTCGGTAGCAGTGTCCGTTGGGCCCATGCATGTGCTTTGTTTCCTTGTGCTGCGCCACGAGGCTAGTCAGCGTGCGTGGGCTAACGGTCCTCAGTTCATTCTCTACCACAGAGTCATAAACAAGAACTCCAAAGTAGAGGGGAGGAGGGTGGGTTGCAGAGCACCCGCAGGGACACACATCTCGAAGAACCATCATTACTGAACAAGGTGAGTAGCAACTTCTTTGAGGAGTGTCCCTATGGATGCTCCATTGTAGGGGACTACAAAGCTGCACCCCTTTAGGAGGGCTGGGATTTTAGAGTTGGGTCAGTCACAGATAACAGTACTGTGGAGCCAAAGATGGCATCAGAGGCGGAGTCCCCAGTGATCTGTGAAGGTGTGGGCTAACACCCACATCACTGCTCTGCAGATCTCTGCAATAGAAACATCCTTAAAGAAGGCAACAGATGAGGAGATCGATCTTGTGGAATGTGTATGGATAGAGTCTGGAGGGATCATGTTACGAATTTGGTAGCACTGTCTGATGCAATTCGAGATCCACTTACAGAATCTTTGGGCTGATACTACTGAGCCCTTTGATCTTTCTGCCACGGAGAAGAACAGTTTAGCTTTAGGGGACTTCCTGAAGGTGTTTGTCCCATTGAGGTAGAATGCAAGGTATACAGTATGGCCTCCCTATTGTCTCGGTGAGGCTTGGGGTAGAAGATGGGAAGGTGGATAGACTGATTCATATGAAATGAGGATGTTATCTTAGGAATGAACTTTAGATGTAACCTGAGCATAACCTTGCCTGGGAAGAATACTGTGTAAGGGCGATGCACCATCAAAGCAGCTATCTCCCCTATTCTTCTAGCCGAGGTGATTGCTATCAGAAAGGCCGTTTTCACCGATAGGTATGTCAGTGAACAGGTAGCCATAGGTTCAAAGGGGGGGCTGGTCAGCCCTTTCAGTACCAGGTTAGGTTCCATGCAGGGTAGAAAGTCAAGGTTGAGGGAAGAAGTTAGTTATACCTTTAAGGAACCTTTGGTGGTTGGATGCGATAGTACTGAGTATCCCTCTATGGGTCAGTGAAACGTTGTGATGGCTGTTAAGTGGACCCTGAGAGAGCTCAGGGATAACCCCAATTTTTTAAGGGTCAGAGCATATTCCAGAATATGTGAAAGAGTTGCTGACACGGGAAAGATTTGTTAGGACATGCACCAAATCTGAAACCTGGAACCACTTCTGCAGGTAAGTGCATTGTGTGAAGGACTTTCTGTGTAACAGAACTTCTTGCACTTCCCTTGAGCATGACCTTTCTAGCTGCTGGAACCATGTAGGAGCCATGCTTTGAGGCAGAGAATCCCCAAGTTGGGGTGTATAGTACTACCTTTGTCCTGTGAGAGGAGGTGCAGAGAGTTCAGAAGGGAGATCAGCAAGCACATCACAAGCTGCATCAGGTAAGGGTACCAGGTCTGTTTTGGCCAAGTAGGAGCAAATCAGGATTATGTGAGCTCCGTCCCTCTTTATCTTCAGCAGGATTTTCAGCAGAAGGGGAAATGGAAGGAAGGCGTAAAGAAGGTCCTTGTCCTAGGGAGAAGGAGAGCGTCTCCCAAACAGTACTGTCCCATCTCCACCCTGGAGTAGCATCATGGACACTTCTTGTTCTGGTAAGTAGCGAACAGATCTGTGGACTGTGTTCCCCACTGTGTGAACAAGTCGTGAAAAACTGACAGGTGCATC